TATATGAATGAATACAAAAATACCCTAACCCGTGCATTCTTTTATAAATTTGAAATTATTATCCTAATACTAATGTAAATGGAGGGACGCGGGTGGCGCTGTGGGTTAAACCGATCAGACTTGCCGATCAGAAGGTCGGCGCTTCGAATCCCTGTGACGGGGTGAACTCCTGTTGCTCAGTCCCTGCTCCTGCCAACCTAGCAGTTCAAAAGCACATCAAAGTGCAAGTAGATAAATAGGTACCGCTCTGGAGGGGAGGTAAACGGCTTAGTCATGCTGGCCACATGACCCAGAAGCTGTCTGCAGACAAACGCCGGCTCCCTTGGCCTATAGAGTGAGATGAGCGCCACAACCCCAGAGTCAGCCACGACTGGACCTAATGGTCAGGGGTCCCTTTACCTTTACCTTACCTTACCTTTACCTTTACCTTACCTTACCTTACTAACTACTACATTTTGTATAAATTTGTTCCAAATATTGTCACATTTATCCAAGCAGAATCTACATCTGTAAGCAGTCCGTTCGTAGGTTGCAGGTGTTATCATATTATCAATCCACTGATTAAATGAGATCATGTCTTTATTCTTCCAGTTCATCAATATCAGCCTCTCGGCAACCATTAGAGAACATACAATCCATTTTTGTTGTCTAGTTGTTAACTTCCATATAGTAGGTATATAGTTCAGAAGAATATTCTCTGCTTAAAATGTTAGGTTTTTTTCTGAACAGTCATAGTTATACAATCCAGCACATTCAGTAAGTATAGAACACTGTATAAACATAAGTTTCAGGGAAGATCAGACAAAAGTACTGATGTCGATCACAGCTCTTGCAACCATTAGTTCATATGCTTTTTATTATGCTTTTATCATCATTGATGTTCTGAAATGTGTTTTTAATGTTTTACACCATCCTGGAATCTTTTTATAAAGGGAGGGACACGGGTGGCGCTGTGGGTTAAACCACAGAGCCTAGGACTTGCTGATCAGAGGGTCAGTGGTTCAAATCCCTGCAATGGGGTGAGCTCCCGTTGCTCGGTCCCTGCTCCTGCCAACCTAGCAGTTCGAAAGCATGTCAAAGTGCACGTAGATAAATAGGTACCACTCCGGCGGGAAGGTAAATGGCGTTTCCGTGCGCTGCTCTGGTTTGCCAGAAGCGGCTTAGTCATGCTGGCCACATGACCCAGAAGCTGTACTCTGGCTCCCTTGGCCAATACAGTGAGATGAGCGCCGCAACCCCAGAGTCGGCCACGTCTGGACCTAATGGTCAGGGGTCCCTTTACCTTTACCTTTACTGTATATAAATTGAAATCATCATCACCATCATAGTTTCCACACACCACGCTGCCCATCTTCTTCTGAAGGCACCCTGGTAGGAAAGGCATTGCTGAAATTGTTTTTTAGAAAGGCTTAACCTGTGGCCGGAGTTACTAATTTGACAGCTCTTTGAGAAGTCCTCTCAACAAGAAAAGTTTCTCGCCAGAAGATAAGAAAAGACAACTGTGTTGAAATATGCCTCAACCTTTTTACTTTGGACTCTGGTGCTGCAAAGTAATATATCGATTGATTCTTGTGACAGACAAGACTGCACAATATAAGTACAATTCTTCCCCCCCCTCCAAAATATATAATATTGGAGTTAGTGGGTATGTAACAGTTGTGATTAAGGGTAATGCCCAGTGCTGATTCCACTCCAAGGTATGCCTCACTCGGTTTTGATTCTGGGTGGAACCAATGCCTTTCCCCCCCCACCAGGACAAACTCACAGGAACCAAGTTCCGGCACCTCTCAAGTGGGTGCCACTGCCATTCTAAGAGACTATGGTGAGTTCTATCACCTGTTTTTCTAGAAAAATAGCAATGGGTGGAACTATGTGGATGGCATCGATGCCAGGTCTAGGGGGACAAGGGTGTGAGGGAACCCACAACATGGGGCTCCAACATGACTTCTGGTTACTGAAAGTCATGTCGGAGCCCTGACACAGCCTCACCAGAAGTCGCATTCGGAGGTCTTGCGAGGTCTCGGACGCAATCTCCGAGACCCGGAGAGGCCTTGGAAGAACCACCACACTGCCGCCACAATGTGACATCCCTGGACCCATGGATGGTTAAGGCCAGTCAAAGCCGCCTATGGGGTACGGCGCTCAATTCACTTTTCAGGCTGAGGGAGCCGGCATTTGTCCACAGACAGCTTTCCAGGTCATGTGGCCGGCATGACTAAACCGTTTCTGGCACAACGGGACACTGTGATGAGTGCCAAAGCACATGGAAACGCCATTTACCTTCCCACCACAGCGGTACCTATTTATCTACTTGCACTGTCATGCTTTCGAACTGCTAGGTGGGCAGAAGCTGGAGCTCACTCCGTCATGGGGATTCAAACTGCCAACCTTCTGATCGGCAAGCCCAAGAGGCTCAGTGGTTTAGACCACAGTGCCACCTACGTCCCTTTAATGACATACAACACCCCTGAGGGGCAATCAGGGAAGTTTCCACGGTACTTTCCCAATGGATCCCCCCCCCAACAATGCCCTCAGAACAACACTACATTGGGGGGGCATTGTGTGTGAGTGGGTGGATTGCAGCTTCCCACTTCAACTTCTAAGCTCCATGCTCCTAAGCACCATGGCCAGCAGCTAAGGAGCCACTGTTTCCTTAGGGTGTCTATCCGTGGGCATTTTGAAGTTTGAGTCATCCTATGATGAGCAATCATACCAGCATGAATGCTCCTCAGGTAATCAAGTGATAATTGTGTTATTGTAAAACAGCTCCCAAAGTCTGGATAATCAAGTTGACGGGAGATCTGTCAGTTTGCAGAAAGTATTGATCTGATGTGTAGACATTAATTCAAGAGGGTTCCGGAAGCTTCTGGAAGCTTCTCTGTGTGAAACAAACAAACAGAAGGTTCCTGATGTTTGGGTTATTCCTTCAGAGAAGCTGAGTACAGCTGGTTTCAACTGGTTCTGTTATCTCTTCGTCAAGGTCATGCTGACTATAATAAGAGGCCAGAAGGAGCTTGAGTTTCACACTTTCTCTTTCTATCTCTCTTCCATCTGCTGTGGTGTTCTGTACATAGTACACTTAGTGTTAAGGTTTAGACTTATTATAAGCTATTGTAAGTTTAAGTTAAGTCTGCTGCAACTGGATTTCTTATGGACAGTGCCAATCCTGAATGTACAGTGGTACCTCGGGTTACAGACGCTTCAGGTTACAGACGCTTCAGACTCCGCTAACCCAGAAATAGTACCTCGGGTTAAGAACTTTGCTTCAGGATGAGAACAGAAATCGTGCGGTGGCAGTGGGAGGCCCCATTAGCTAAAGTGGTGTCTCAGGTTAAAAACAGTTTCAGGTTAAGAACGGACCTCCAGAACGAATTAAGTACTTAACCCGAGGTACCACTGTATTGGATTTGTGACCATTATGCTCATTTGCCTCCAGTAACAGTAAAGCTCTGCTGGATGAAATATAATTGCCTCCGGTCTATTTTTGGGGAATCCTGCAATGTGTTTAAGTTGTTACTCTGCTAACTATACATTGGAATCTACTCTGGATCAATAGTGAGTAGATTTTCACTGAGAAGATCAAATGATGTTCACCCATATGTGAAACAGCTCAATATCAATTTCTATGCGGATTACATCTTTCTCAAATAGTATCAGAATGCTGAGTTTGATCCATGGAACCATAAGTGTTGGGAGGTCATAAGAAATCATAGGAGCCAGCTCCTAGGGGCCAAGGTCCCTTCGCCCCCCCCAAAAAAAATATTTGAGGGAGCCAGGCCCCCCAGGTTGATTGTCATTGTCATTCAAATGGTGTGTGCGCGTTGCATCATGTGATCGATTATGTTGGGGGGGCAGCTTACCTGTTAGGATTTTTATCTCACCAGCTTCTCAGCAAGTAGCACTCTGGTTGTTTATATCATGTGAGTGTCTGAGAGATTGAGACAGGAAGTCTCAGTACGGTTGGGTACTGCTGAAGAAGTTACTTTCACTTCTGTGTGAGAAGTTGTTCTGTACTGCTGCTGAGAGAGAGCAGACATGCTGGTGGGTTCTCTTTATATATGGACCGTAAATAAAGTTGTTTATAGCTACTGATTGTCTTTTTCTTCTGCAATGAGATGCCAGAAGACGAGCATGCTCCTTTCAGGAGGGAGGGGTCGCTTATCACCGGTCTCTCTGGACTGAGGAAGATTTACAGCCAGAGAGTGACCACCGAAGAGACGTCTTGGGAAGGTGGTGGCCTTCCCGGGCATTTTTCCAATGTTTTATTCAAGTTGACATCCCTGTAAGGAACGTTTGCAAGTGTGGTACAAAGACATACAACAGAGTTGACTGCCATAGAAAGCTCTGATAGCAGTTATCATGCTTCCCTTTCTGCAAAAGCTTGACAAGTTCTTGGATAAACTCCGGTGCAATAAAAGGAACTTTTGGCTGGATATAGCTTTACTTTTCCCATACATCTGCTGCCCTCCAGATGTTTTGGATGTGCTGCTTGCAGCTGATGGAAACTGTAGTCCTAAACACATTGAGTGGGGATGTTGCTTGCAAAGCAGAAAAGAGAATACACCTAAGAAACTTCTCCATATATTGAAATGAAATACATATCTAACTTATGCATGGCTTCTGAATGTCTATGTTTTTTCAATTTTGTACATATTGCTTTTCTAAAGGGAAAATAACCAAAAGCTGGCTGGGAAGCATATTTTTGTTATCAGTTTGTCACATTCCAGAGTGTGCCACATCGTTTGAGTCGAGATCTTTGTGGCTTCCCCGTTCATTTCTCCCAGCTTTCGGCCTCATTCATAAACATGAATTTCAGTGGCTAAAAGATGCTGGGAATATTATCTCTATCGCTGCAGTGCTGATGATCCTCTCGGGAGAGGCTATCAAAAACATTTTATAGGCGACTGCAGTTACGTAACAGTGCCTTCTCCTTTGGCGAGACAGTTAAAATTGATCAAGGTGTTGAGCCGTGTGCTAATGAAATATACATGAGAGCTAAACACTGCAAACATTTTCATTTCTGCAGCAAAACATCAATCATAGCAGTCGCCCTAAAAAAATCAGTAGATTATTTAGCTAGAAAGAAGCTTTTTTAACAATACAACCAAATACATTCCAGTCTTCCACCACTGAAGCTGATCTTCCTGGTCCCTGAAGTGCCAAAGAAATTAGCCCACTTCTAGAGATCCTGGTTTCCTGCAAGGAGAGAGGCAGATTTAGCAAGGTGTTCTGCATCAGTTGTGCCCGCAAGGCAAGTTAAGTAAAAACAATCCAAACTATGACACATGGTACAAGGTAAATATTCCTTGTATGTTGGCTAAGGTCACCTGAGTCCTGGGGTAAGGAAGAGGATGCCCAAATGTGTACATTTATCCACGGGTAGCTAATATGGTGCCCATCAGATGTTCTTGGACTCCCAACTCCTATCATCACAGTTGGCCATTCTGGCTGGGTCTGGTGGTATTTGGAGTCCCAGAACAGTAGTTCCTTCTGGAAATGTAAAGAGAAGGAAAGCACCCTTTTCACATGTGGTGGCTGTGTAAGATATCAAAAGCATTCTGGGAAATGATTTATAATGAATTGAAAAAAAATGTTGGAAATAACTTTGGATGGGCTTAAATTGGAGCCTGACTCAAAATGAAGCATGGTTGATCTGTTTCAACTGGGGAGACCTTGCATTGTCACACATATCTTTGGGAAGCGGGGGAATGACTTTCATTCCAGAAAAAGGCCCTCAGAGCTGGACCTCAATGAATGATGGGAGTGGAGACACACCTTCAAGTAAACTGGGCCAAGGCTGCTTAGGGCTTTAAAGGTCAGCACCAACACTTTGAATTGTGCTCGGAAACGTACTAAACATTAACCTATATAAATATAAATACATTCAATGCATAAATTTCTATATAAATGAGATGCTCCAATGGGGGAGATGTACAGAATTATCATTGGTTTCTATTGGAGATGGAAATGAAGAGTTGGAACCTTTTTGCATACATATGCAGAAATGTTGCCATGTGTCTGTCTCGAAAGACAATGGAGTATGCCTCTGGGAGTGAGGTCATACAAGGCACCACCCAATTGTCTTAGGGACTCCACTCTGGATTTGTGTAGAGTTTACTTCTTAGCCTTTCCATCTCCCGAAGATATCCCACAAAGCAGTGGAGGTTTAAGTTTATAATCCTTTTTTTTTTAGATTTGCCTTGAGTATTTTAACCTCTTTTGCTGACCACCAGTATTATGCTTTCCATTTTTAAGTTCGGAATAGAGTAGTTGCTTTGGAATATGATAATCAGGTATCTGCACAACATGACCAGTCCAACCAAGTTGATGTTGAAGAATTATTGCTTTGACACTGGTGATCTTTGCTTCTTCCAGCACACTGGCATTAGTTCGCCTGTCTTCCCATGTGATGTGTAAAAAATTTCCCTCTACAGCATGTGCAGAAGCCGCCTTCTTGACCATTGGACCCGCTATATGGAGCAAGAATGGAGGAACTGAACTTTTCAGGCTTCCCAACATGGTACTTTCCAGATGTTTTGGACTGTATGGAAGAGGCTGGGCTAAGGAAAGATGTAATCCAAACATCTGGAGAGCAGCAGGCTGTGAAAGTTATTTTCTATTTATTCTGGTCTTGCCCCACAGAAAACTATTCTAGTAAGAAATGCCCAATAAAATTCAAGATATATCTGGTTATTATATCCCCTTGGCACTCAAAAGTGCCCTCCTTATTTGAAAGGAATTGTTAATGAAGAAGATTTAGAACTCACTACATTCTTGTTACTAAAAGTCAGACAGGTAATCTCTGTGAACAGGAAATCTTTCAAGCCTTTATTAAGTCTGCAACAGTGTCTGGGAGACAGCTTTTATATATCTCCTAAACTAGCTTCTTATTAAAGGTGTAAGGAAGGATGTGTACCTAATAAATTTATTGGGAAATGCAGTATATAAGTCACTGGAATACAAAGTACCAAGATAAGGTTTGTTTTCACTAATATAATTCCGGCAGCAAGACATGAGCTTTCCTTTGGGGTTTTGCTCTGTTTTGTATATCCTTATATGTTTTGGTGACGTCCTTCTTGCTTCCTGTATGGTTTTGTGAAAATTCAAATGTTTGGCACAGATATGTATGTATGTAACGGTCACGGGTGGTGCTGTGGTCTAAATCACTGAGCCTGGGGCTTGCTGATCAGAAGGTTGGCAGTTTGAATCCCCATGATGGGGTGAGCTCCCATTATTCGGTCCTAGTTCCTGCGAAACATAGCAGTTTGAAAGCACAAAGTGCAAGTAGATAAATAGGTACCACTCTGGTGGGAAGGTAAACGGCATTTCCGTGCACTGCTCTGGTTCACCAGAAGCGGCTTAGTCATGCTGGCCACATGACCCGGAAGCTGTCTGCGGACAAACACCGGCTCCCTCGGCCAGTAAAGCGAGATGAGCACCGCAACCCCCTAACGGTCAGGGGTCCCCTTTACCTTTACCTTTATGTATGTATGTATGTATGTATGTCTTTTTGTTTGTCCATCTTGTCACCATGTTAAGCTTCTTCAGCTCATTTGTGTCTTCCCTCCCCCTTTTTGTAGTGTCAATGGATATATGGACATCAGATCCACTTAAGCAAAGGTCCTACACAGGACATCCCCATCAGCAGAAACATGGAGAGGTGATTTTTGCCAATGTCCCTTTCCCCCTACAGTTCCCAGGGCTCCCACATTATCCCAGAGTGTTCCCCAACCCTGCAAAGCAGATTTTTCAGGAGACGTAGAGAGGGAACAGATTGAAAATGGCCTCCTTCCTCACCCCACAAGCAGAATTCATCCACTGGATCAGAAGACCTCCGCAGATGGAAGGAGCCCTTCCATATTTGTTGAGAGGCAACGTCTGGGTTCAATGGATGCTACCTGAAAGAATTTTGGTGCAATTGCGTATATATGACTGCACTGAGATTGCTTTGTTGTGGAGTTTTATCCATACCAAAGGGTACATATGCAATGTAGACATAAAGGAGCACAAAGAAATCAAAAGACATGGAAATCTGCACATAACCCAATCCCAGAATCCTTTTTAGAATCTATAATCCCAGTTAAACCTTGTTAACTGCCGGGCTGAGTAAACCTATGGAACAATAAAAGAAGAGAATCTGCACCTGTAATTAACTGGATTTATCCAAAGTAAATACACACCTATTGACTTTCAAGGCAGACAGATACCTCCTTTTGAGATCAGTGCCTACGTATTTATCCCATTTTCTTCTTTGTCTGTTTTCTCCCCATCCTGTAAGACTCATTTGCTAGAGGTAGACATATTCTATTATGCCCAAAACATCGCTGTGTACAATTTAGTGTTTATGATGGATTCCATCTGTTAACTGAAATTGTGTACCACCCAAATGCTCCTTGAAATCTGTTTACCATCTACAAACAGAGTTTATGAAAGACAGGGGTGCATTTTCCCACTCCAACATTGTAAATGAGAACATGAATAAACTAGCCAATATATTGTTTGTAGGGGGGAAAATAACAACAGCATATATGTGCAGTATTCTGAACTATGTAGATAAAGAATCAGGCTGCAGGTGTTGAACGACTATATATGTATAGAATTGAGGGACTATATATGTGTTGTTATGAATTTGTGGGTGCAAGACACCCTAAATTCCAAATGAAGTTAGTGTCTGAATTTAATTAAGGCTTGGGGCATCAAAAGCTTATTAAGATAGGCTAGTCTCTGGTGGGAAGTGATAGCCACGCCCATGTGTGTATTTGAGCTGTGATCAGACCCCCAAGTGTTAGAACATAGGTTAAAAAAAATAAGATAAAGGACAGCTTTCCAGGTCATGTGACCAGCATGACTAAACCGCTTCTGGCACAATGATACACTGTGACGTAAACCAGAGTGCACGGAAATGCCATTTACCTTCCCGCCAGAGCGGTACCTATCTATCTACTTGCACTGGCATGCTTTCAAACTGCTAGGTTGGCAGGAGCTGGGACAGAGCAATGGGAGCTCACTCCGTCATGGGGATTCAAACTGTCGGCCTTCTGATCAGCAAGCCCAAGAGGCTCAGTGGTTTAGACCACAGCGCCACCCACATCCCATTGTTAGAATATCATCAAGCCCAATCTGCATTTGAAATGTGTCAAAAACCAATTAAGACTGGACTAGCCTCATGCATGAGGTGTCAGCCTAGGGGCAACGGAGTTAGCAAGACAGAGAATAAAAGGGCAAATCTCATTTGCAAATGGGTGGTTTCCTCCCACCCTCAACTGGGAGTTTGGTCTAAAAAGACAATGCCAATGTTTTAGGCATGGCTCTAGATTTAGAAGGGCAGTTAGAGGAAAGGTGGAATGTGACCTAGGATGTGAGGCAAGCTGCAAGGCAGCAGAGCAAGGATGCTGGTGTGCCTAAGGGAGAAATAGGACCCCCTTGGAATGCAGATGTTCTGAACCCCTCCATGGCAGGTTGTATATATATGCGAAAAGAAACCATATATCATAAAGACACCACAGTCTCTGCTGTGCCTCATTCTCCAAAAGGAAACACGGACCTTGGGTAAGCGCTTAGAACTCCCTGGAATCTCACCCTGCTGTGGAGATTGGGGCTGGATCTACACTGATCTGTAAAAACACCATTAAAGGCTATTTTTTTAAAAAAGTTACATAGCTCTCAATGTGATTTCCCATTGCTCTGCAGTGCCCTCTAGTGTCACATTTTTATAACACATTTTTAACGCTATAACCAACCTGTAGGTAGATTCGTCCTGGGAATGGCGTGTAACAGTATGTCGTTTTAATTCTATCCATGTTTAATTGTTTTTAATGGTTGCTTTTTTTCCTGTGATAATGGCAACGACGATGATGATTTACCTGGGTTATTCCCGCCACTCTGGGCAGCTTCCCATCAGGGGAAAAGACGGGGTATAAATAAATCTATAACAACAATATTGTAATACTACAACTGCGCTCATTCCTGACCATTGGCCATCTTGGCTGAGGCTGATGGGAGTTTTAGTCCAACAGCCTCAGGATGGCTGGATTAATGAGTTTGCTCTCCTCCTCTTCCTTTACGGGTCCCCATTTTTTCTCCCACTTCTTTTGGGCCCATATCTCCAGCCCCTTTTCTTTCTACCGTAGCAGAAAAAACGGAAACTTTATGGAAATCTGTTATAACGCATATGCTGTGGAAGACAGAGATTTCCTGTGGATCAGGCTGAAAAAGGAGAATGAAGCAAAACAGCGGCCTCAGTGGGCAAAACCTCTGAAGTATGGTTAGGTTGAAGTTGGCTTTGCTTGAGGGGGAAAGATCCATAGTATCCAACAGTGCTTTGAGTTCCTGTGTGTCTTTCCCACACCTTCAGACTGGCGCCACGCAAACTTGAATCTTCCTCCCATTCTAATTCTACGCCGGAATTAATAAGGCAAAATAGAGATTGTCCCCAGTGTGTCCTTCAGGTACACGATGTACCTCTGAAAAGTTAGACCCTTGGGCGCCCTGGGAGGGACACCAGAATAATGTTGAACAACACTGTCAACGAAAAGAGACGGTTCATTAACATGAATTATCCATCTCCCTCACTATCTGTTCAGCATGACCTAGCAGGAGGGAAAAAAACACCATAAACACTGTAAGTCTAGCCAGACCACAGGATAAATAAAACTGCATAGCTGTTTGGGCTGAATAACAATGACCCGAGAGGGAAGCCGGATATTAAATATTAAAAATGTGCTTTTAAAGCTCAGCCTCACAAGCAACATTTAAGTGGTTTATTAAATCCAAATTTATTAGATTTAAACGGGAGGGAAATCAAAACACAAAGATAGTCATCGGTTTTCCCACGCTGATAAGAAATCAAATTAATGGCACCACATGAGGCAAGTGAAATTCTCCTCTGAGCTGCATAATCTGACAGAATTCCACGCAGCTGAGCTGCCCTAGGATTTAGACATGTCGCCTTATCTTCAGTGCCAGGCCCTGAGTCAAGTACATTCAGAACTCAGGGAATCTTTTCCAGAGATTCTGAAGAAGAGCAATTTTTGTTGTGGCGGTTTAGGTTTGGTGATGAGCAAACACCCACAGGGCTGGGCCTACCATTTGGCTTATGTGTTAGAAAAGGACAGATATTTAATAGTTTTTCTAGTTTATGATTGTCATTTTAAAAAATACATTGAATTTTCCATAAGGCTTGCCACCGCCGTCTAGTGTCACATTGCATATTGCACTTAAAACACATTTAAAACATTTTATTTGCAGTTGTATAGCCGTGTTCCAGTTTGGCAGATTCCCAGGTTACAGAACCCGGTACTAGAAAAAGGAATTTTATTTCAAAGGACAATGGAGAATTTAAGATGTTGAGTAGTACCGTGTGGGCAGTCTATCTTATTCAACAGTTTTTTGGCTTCTTCCTTTGCCCTTGCTTGGGAGTAAACATCGTAGGCAGAAGGCCTTCTTGGTAGTGGCACCCGCCCTATGGAATGCCTTCCCATCAGATGTCAAGGAAATAAACAACTATCTGACTTTTAGAAGATATCCCTATTTAGGGAATTTTTTTAATGTTTGGTGTTTTTAATATTCTGTTGGGAGCCATCCAGAGTGCGGGGTATACAGGTAAAACTCGGAAAATTAGAATATTGTGGAAAAGTTCATTTATTTCAGTAATTCAACATAAAAGGTGAAACTAATATATGAGATAGACTCATGACATGCAAAGCGAGATATGTTAAGCCTTTATTTGTTGTAATTGTGATAATCATGGCGTACAGCTGATGAAAACCCCAAATTATCCTGGTCTTCCATAACACCTCAGCAGTGCCACAGGCTGATAGCATCCATGCCACCCTGCATTGAGGCAGTAAGTGATGCAAAAGGGGCCCAAACCAAGTACTGAGTACATGTGCATGCTTCTATTTCTCAGAGGTCCAATATTGCTCTATTTGCAGTCCTTGTTTTGCTGATTTCATTTAATATTCTAATTTTCTGAGATTGTTAATTTGGGGTTTTCATCAGCTGTACGCCATGATCATCACAATTATAACAAATAAAGGCTTGACATACCTCGCTTTGCATGTCATGATTCTATCTCATATATTCGTTTTACCTTTCAAGTTGAATTACTGAAATAAATGAACTTTTCCACGATATTCTAATTTTCCGAGTTTCACCTGTAAATAATATATCATCACCATTATCAACATCATCTCATTGGCCAGGAGAGTGGCAGCTTAGCAGCTCTGTATCAGGGAAAGATATATCCATCTTTCTATCTGTGGCTGGACCAACTACGGAGAGGTCTCGCCTGTATTTAGCGAGGAAGCCTCTATTTTTCAGTCAGCTGCTCAAGGCTGCATTTCCACTTATCTGATAGAAGCTTGCATCACCAGAGAATGTGACACGACAGCTCTTCAGCTCACCCCAATAACGTAGCAAAATAAGATGCTTGCAGTGTGGTGGCCGACAGTGTGCGCCACTAAATAAAACTCCACAGATCTTTGGTTGTTTTAAAGCGAAGTTCATCAGAGTGCATCTCACTCTGAGATGCAAGCCCTTCCGCTCCTTCAGGGGGAAAGGGAGCAAGCACCACCATCCCTCTGTATTTAACAGCGATCACTGCCAATCTAATAGCGACCACACACTTCAGGGTGACAAAGCTCTTGCACCTTTAATAGCGGTGCAGGGAAGGGAATTTCAGCCACTCAAAAAATCCCCTGAAATCCCCTCTTCTGCACAACTATTAAAGGTGTATAATTGGTTTTCACCCAGCCTCCCTACACACAGCAGGCAAGGCAGATTATACCCTTGTGAATGTAATCCTGGCCATATAGTTTGCTAGCAGGTTACTAGGCTACCAGCTCTTTCACTATATATTTGGAAAAGCTGCTTGTTTGCGATGCCTTTGAATACATTTAAAGATATCGCAAGGCTATTTTGCAGGATGGCTCCTGGGATCAAGGAGTGTGTTTCTGCCCGTGCTTCT